ATCAAAATATCTGGCAGATATGGAAGCCGTTTACAGATAGTAAAAAAAAAAAAAAAAAAAAAAAAAAACAAAAAACAGAATTTATATTCTCGTTTGACATTTGATCTTTTATAAATAGGAAATACTGTTCGTTTTGCTATATTTTATTAAGATTATCGGTAGTTTCAGATTAGTTTGTGTGTATCGTTCAATTTAAACGTACGATATTTGAATAATTTATTGTAAACATTGCAAGAGTTTACCATTTTACTCCCGAAAGACGGAATAACGATACATATATAATTCAGTTATCTATAATATAGGCTATAAAAGATAATACTGAATGTTAAATTTCAACTGTCTTTTAAATAAAGACGACGGACATAAATCATGACAATATATCAACTACCAGATGATACCAAAAAAAAAAAAAGAAAAAAAAGAAATCTGATATATATATACTTCGCATCATTGGGTAGATTATTGTTGTGAGGCGAGAAGTTAAAAGAATTATGGAGTAGTTTAATTTATAAATATACTTGAAGAATAGCAATAGATTCTAAGTGAAGCTCGTTGACTGGTAAGGTGTTATTCGTGTTGTTTAGGCAATGGCTTACATAGAAATCAACGAAAATAAAACCGATATGTTCGTAGTCGGGTTTTCCAGATATACTATTGAGAATCAAAACACGATTTCAAATAACGTAGAGAGATGTAGGACAGAACGGAAACCCTAATAATGTATTGGTATAAGAAGTTCAACAATATTGAAAATCTCAAAAATTCGAAATTCGAAATTTTAACCATGAACTCTATATAGGTTCTGGTTAGGTATATGTCAACATGTTTTAATCAATCTGTTATGTTTCATAAAGTTACTGGTTAAAATATGTTCAAGTATCGTTGGCTTAATTTTGTCACACGGGGAAAACGTCCAAACAAATAATGTTCAATTCACATAAATATTATAATAACATTTTTTTTTTCTTTTATATAATTGAATGAATAATTTGCACTATCAGTACAACAGTGCCATACATCAAAAATTTTCAATTTTAAGGTTTTGATATCCCTGGATTCTGATCTAAGTAATTACATTATTAAATTGTCAGTAACAAATAAACTTATTGTACTGAAACAGTGAAACACATAGATAGAAGATGGATATATGAGAAAAATAAGCCGTAAAACGATAAATCGCGGTCATATAGTACTAAATAAAGATGAATATTTTTTGGTAACGTGAACAATTTGACCACTTAACAATATACTGCTTTATTGAATTAAAACATTAACTAATCACTGTCGGTGAAGTAGCGTCATATTATAGTCAGTGGTGTTCCCATCTATTTTTTTTTATATTTTTTTTTGAGAGTAAACCATAATAAAACAAATAACTTTATTAAGAATTCTTAATATTATTAAAATAAAGTCAAAAACATTTGTTATACGTTGAAAAAGAACAAAATTGTGTAACCTGCTGTTAACAAATAGCTCACGAATTCTTAACCAATAATAGGATTTAAGGCAGACTGAATTACCCACTTTTAAAAACAAACAAATAAAAAATTCTTCTGTTTTTTTTTCCTATGTACAGTTATAATACAGGTATACACGTTGTATAATATGACGCAAATTACAAACTCAATATTTACCTCTTTGGCGAAACCCAAAATACGTCACTAAATAATCGATACAGGCAAGGATAAAAACGATTGCATGTGATATGGGCCTGTCCTTAGAGGATTAGAAAACAAAAAATATAAGTTTTATAAAAAAAAAAATAAAAAATAAAACATCGGTATACCGGAAATTAAATTAAGTGTTTTGGTTCACTTATTGATTTTAGTAAGTAATTTTTGTAGGTATTATTAACATTGAACTACGAGTAGTTACGTATTTTTGGAGGAATATTATGAACATGAAAAATAATAAGACTATACTTAATGCGTGTTATCTTCACATTATAATTATAAAATGATTTTGTTGTGCAGAATATGTCAGATGAAATATGCTAAACTCGTCTAGGAAATAGTTTTACAGCGTGTTCACTTTTGCCATACTTCCTTACTCGGTTAATATAAAATAGACGTTTACGTTTTGGGCGAAAATCCACTAAACAAATATGCGATTCTAG